TTCAACTGCACTCTACCAAGCCTGTTAAAACAGATCCAAAACTTTTTGGAATATAGTTAACTCCAAACAAGATCGGTTGGCGCCATCTATGTTAGGTGCCGATGGCAACGTGCTAATATTAGATGAGTATGCCGAGCAATTTAATAAGTACTTTGCCGGAGTCTACAGAGATGAAGATCCTATTAATAGTTCCTTGACCCTTCTGTAACCAGCCATTCCGTTTAGCTTTCCATCAATCATTATATCCTCCTACGGTGTAAAACACGCTATTGACCGCTTACCGTTCAAGACCAGCCCAGGCCCGGATGGCATCAGCGCTAAACATTTAAAATTAACCAGTCACATCTCAGCAATTGTACTTTCTTTATTATTCCAACAGTCACTTGACTCTGGATGCTTACCAGAAGACTGGAAAGTAGCTCATGTTCTGCCCATACCTAAGATAACACTGTCTTCAATAACTACCATCCTATATCATTGACCTCAATTAGTTGCAAACTGCTAGAACACATAATCTATACACACACATAATGGCGCATCTCAACCGAAATAATCTGCTCATAAACAATCAGCATGGTTTCCGTCCGAAACTCTCATGCCAAACACAGCTTTACGAGTTGGTAATTGACATTCACACCTCACTGCACTCGTCCCTTATTGTTGACGGAATTTTTATTGACTTTTCAAAGGCCTTCGACAGCGCACCTCATAAACGACTAACACTTAAAAAATGCGTAATCTCGAACTTGACGGCAAAACAACACGATGGCATGAGGAATTTCTAAAATATCGTTCTCAGGTGGTAAAATTAAATGATTATATATCCGGTTCAACACTTGTCAAGTATGGTGTCCCTCAAGGAACAGTAATAGGCCCGCTTTTATTTTTAATATATATTATTGACATAACATCAAATATTAGTTCTACAATTTGCCTTTTTGCAGACGATTGCATTATATACAGAAAAATAACTGGTCTTAACGACGTTATAGCTCTACAATCTGACCTTCATAAGCTAACACAATGATGCAGCAGGTGGCAGGCGCAAATTAATGTATAAAAGACTAAACACTTGGCATTCGGTTCTGTTTTGAAGGCACAATGTAATACCTATGTACTAAATGATGAAAAAGTTGACTCAGTTACAATGGTAAAATACCTCGGCGCCCTTATCAATTCAAGACTAACATGGACTGACCACAAGAACACATTACTTGTAAAGCGCAGAAGAAACAAGGCTTTCTGAAACGACGTTTATATCTAGCAGACAGGGACACCAGGCTTCAAGCATATAATTTCCTTGTGCGCCCTTCACTGGAATATGCATCAATCATTTGGCATCCCCACCAGATCACACTTACTAGTCTACTGAAAGCCATTCAGAATAAAGCAGCTTGGTTCATCTTATCATCACACTCACAATTTCAAAGCGTTTCATCTTTGAAAGCAGAGCTGAATATGCCGCCGCTTGCTGTGCGCAGGCAATTTTCCAGATTATCCTTTTTCCATACTTTGTATCACTCTAATGCATCATTTGCCCGAACGCATATTTTACCACCACCTCATACATCTAGTCACACCAATCATTCTTTCAAAGTCAACCCTATATTCGCCCGTACAGAAAAAATTTGAAATTCGCCTTTATTTTATTTATTTATATGATATATAAGAAGATGTTGGTGCACCATTATGGCGCCGGCTACTCCTTAGCCGCAGGGGCGGCGCCAGGATGTTTTTACTGGGGGGGCAACCACGAAAAGTGAGTTCCTCCGGGGGGGGGGGCAAGCTAGCTCTGCTCCTACTAGGTTTTCAATATATGCTTCCGGGCACTTGGGTGGGCATAGGGGGGGCAGGCGAGAATTTTGGGGGAGCTCCAGCCCACCCTTGCCCCCCCCCTGGCGCCGCCCCTGCTTAGCCGTTGATTGAAACTTGCACACGTATCTTGAAGCAAAACATACAAAGCAGTGCATGGAAAATAGAAAACTCAGGCACAGATATGCAAAGACACACTTATATAAAATTCGCCTTTACTTTTATCGATAAAAGAATGGAATGAACTACCTTCCAGGATTGCTACAATAACTGAGCTTTCTTTGTTTAATTTAGCATTACTAACCTATTTGCAGCCCTGTTACTTTCATTCATAATTGCTTTATCTGATGTTTACTCTTGTTCTGCTTGCCTTGTCACTAAATCTACGAATTTCTGTACTATATATATAGCATTGTACTAACGTGCAATTATTCATTCTGTGTAAAAATTGTATTCTGTTTATGTCCCCCCCCCCCCCCACCTATGTGATGCTCCTAGCGGGCCTTTAGGGTACTTGAATAAATAAATAAAAAATAAAACTGCACTGGTCCTCTAGTTTGCTTTGTCACCATTGTGTGTATTTAGATGAAGAATAAAAAGTGGACATGTTACTCGTGTTTGTGCTTATCTGTGCAGTAGTGATAAAGTTTCAGTGAAAGCCAGCACTCTCTCTTGAGCCTTACCCGCTTTTATGCATTTTTTATTTGTGCTGTAGTGTTAATAGTGGTGAACCTGCTAGCCCGACCTTCAACCTGAACATGCGCACAGTTCAATTTGCACTAGCCCGTCCTAATATCAACCCTGTTGAACAAACGTAAATGTAAACTTTTCTGTGTCCTTGCATGCTGGCAAACGAGAGATTTCAAGCCATACTGGCAGTGGACATTAGTCCAGATGCCTGGCTTCTAGAGGGTGATATGTGTTTATTACCAATGGAGGCATGCTGAGTGCCAGGTGGCAATGTTTCTTGTATAGCTTCTTCAATGTGGGCATCACATCAGGTCCCCAAAATAATTGCTTTTTAATCTACAGCTGCACAAGTATGAACGCTGAATCTTGAGCAACATAGGTGGGCGCTGCGGATGGAGTCGGCCGTTTCGATTACCCGATGCTGCTAAGAGTGGACAAACAGACAAATGTACAGACAGGCAGAAATTTTTGCGTCGAAGGTCTACAAGAAAGATTATCATCTTTAATAAAGAAAAGACCTTCATCGTCAGACTAGGCAGCGCTGAGAAAAACTAAGCCACCGGTACCCTCCCTGGGAGTGCAAAGAGAGCCATTCGCAAGCCAATGTTCACAGGCCATGACAGAACATTCTCTTTCGTTCGTGTCAGCCAAAGTTTCCTGAAATTTCGAGGACCTAGGAAGGCTTATTTTGCCAGACCATGTTCTAGAGCAATAGGATGCTCATCAAAGCGAACCGTGGGTGCAATGCAAAAGAACCTTCAGTTATTTCGACGCGCTGCGACACGCAAGTACAAGCGAGCATCGCATGACACGGAGATCGAGGCAAGCCTTCCGCTTAAATGCGTTAAATTTGGATTTACGCATAACCTCACAGTGATTATGTGTGATGAATTTATGAGCTACGTGTCTTACCGTAATACAAAGCTCGCTTTAACAGGGACGAATGGCCCCGACGATTTCCGTCTTTTCAGTTGCAGTCTCTATGTAGCCCTTGCTTTCTGTGCATTGCACTGTTTTATTACGCATTTTCAAGTGTTGTCTTCCGTTTGCCAATTCTCAACAGGGAGATACATGCGTGACCACTTTCACGGGCTACAACCGAAGTCAAACAAATTTATGGGTGGTGAGACGAATAGTTTGCATTTTACGTGTGACACACGTTTTGGCACTTTCCCAAGTTGAAAACGGAACATTGGACCTTCAAAACGTGGTACGTGCGCGATCCAGTGCGGCGAGATTACGGGAGGTGGCGGTGTGCGCGATGCTTATCGAGCACCTTCCTCTAGCTGCTCATTACGTGCTTCATGGCACGCACAGCGGTCACAGACTCTACTGAACTTTATAGACATGGTACCCACGGATATTCATCACGGGTCACGCAAAACCGCAACAGCAGAGCTACAATTACCACACTTTCTCATGCGACCGGCTGTGGAGCATACGAGTAATTCGCTCAGCCAAAACGTTCAACCGCCCGTATTCAGCACCAAAAAAAAAAAAAAAAATCGGTAGAAATGAACGTCATTCAGTCCGTTACGAGCGTGCCTACTACTACTACTACTCACAAGGTAACAGACTAGCTCGCTGGATTCCATGCCGACCGGTTGTGCCCTCGCGATCTCCGACGTCAGCGTAGTTCTGACCGACTGGGCTGGCCCTACGTCATCTCCTGACGCCGATCTCCGACGACAGCGTAGCTCTGACCTACTGGACTTGCCCTACGCTATCTCCTGACGCCAACAAGAACTCTCGCAAGTGGTGCCCCGTCCTCAGACTCCTGTGACCGTGTTTTCATTTTTCTTATCCCTCATATGTCCTCGCTCGCTGTCCCAGCGCATCTCTATCTCTCTATGTATACCTTTAATACTATCCTTTTAATCCCTCCTCACCCCCATACCTTGCGAGCTACTGTTGAGGTGTCGTACCCTGATGCAGACAGTTACGGGGCTCACTTTTCTCTTCTTTTCCATCTCATAACCAGTTCTCTCACAAGGCAACAGTAGCGTCGTTTCCGGCGTTTCTTTGTAACGCACGGAGCCGTCGCGTCAGCTCTTTTTTACGCCATCATTCCGGCGAGCGATCTCACAAACACTTCACAGAGATCCGTCCGAATAGCGCGGAGAAGGGCATAGTTCTACATCTGAGAATTAAATGCGCAAAACACGCAATACTAAGCTGAATCGTTGTTTTGCACTCGCTGTCGCGCCACAGAACACCTGGTCGCGCTTGTTGCACCAGCTTCAGGCACATTTGGCTGCGACTAAAACTTGACCCGACTGAAAAAGTAGTTGTTGCCGGAACATGCTTTTATTCTGGCTGATTAGTAGTTTTGTTTTTCACCAAAACTTTCAAATAACAAAAAAAATCTTATTGTCTTTCCTGCAAGACCTGCCAATTTTGTGTAAGCAATTTTATTTAAACGTTTTTTGATCGCACAATTTGGTAAAACAGACTCAGGCTAACGTTCAGGCGGCGCCACTGACGAATACGTCGCGCATCCTCCATGTCGCGCATCAAGTCCCGCGCACAACAAACTACAGTCATACAACTCTTCTCTGCTACAGTATTCTAGAACGATAGAGTTTCATACAATATTGTATGAAACTCTATGCTATAGAACAAACGAAGTGGTAGGCGCACGTGTAAGTTGTTTGGGGTTGTCGTTCGGTGTTTATGGTGCTGTTAATTTGTGGTAGTGTCGCCAACTCTCCGAGAGCTCATTGAACTGAAGCAAAGCGTCATGGCTGCGGTGCTGTTTGAAATCAAGAAAAAGAGTCGCAGTCCCGCTACGAAGAAGTCCCCGTTCCCGCTGGTGTTTCACTTGGGAACTGACAAGTCGAGCGTCGTCACGTGGCACATTTGTCGTGGCGTTCTCAAGCCCGATGGTGTCGAGGTGACGTCGCAGGAAGACATGAAAATCCTGTACCACATGGTACGTGTGCTCGATCGTAGCCGGTGTGTGACGCACATCATTGGTGACAGCTGCTGACGAGTCGGGTGTTTATAACGTGAAGCTGTTTTTATACAATGCATCGTTCAGTGACAATATGTCATGACTCGTGACAATATGCCATGACCACGACCTCCTCTATAAACTTACGACCTACTCACCGGCGCCACCCCTATGGAGGTGTGTGGGCCCAAAAATTTGCGCGTAGGGATCAGAGATACCGCGAGGTGCCGCCACGACTTACCCTCATAGCAGACGACGCGCTGCTGTAGTGGTGCACTCGTGTGCGCGCCTTTCTGCAATTTTTAATGTTATTTATAACGCGCCGATCGAGCAACCCGCAGATTTAATGAATCGAAGCAACATTCTAGCTGTGAGAAGCACCATGGTGGTTGGCTCCGAGATGTTCATTACAGGAACTCCATAGGAACTCGATCTGCGTGAGCGCTTTTGTGTCCCCGTCTAAGCGCAGGCAAACGCGAGAAATATGCGACATGCCACCCATTTGTTTTGCGGAGTGCGCCCCACCTAAATGCTCTCTAGAAGGTGCAGAAATAATTTGTCCGTGGGCAAAACTGCGATCTTGTAACGAGTTGAAACGTGAAATCAGAATTTCTGAGGCGCAAATAAAGACGCATACGGTACTAACACCGCATGGGACGACCCGTGTAATTTTTCATGCCCTGCATATCGTCCTTCAATGATACTGTTCACGAACAACAATAGAAGGGAGTAGGGGTGCTATCCTCTGGCGAACGTCGGAACGATCGATGGAAGCGTGCAATAATACCGGGGGTTTACCACAATGTTGTTACAGCAATTTCTCGCACCTCTGCAGTTATTGCACTGTTCGAGCGCTGCTGGCGTTTCCGTGTGTGTCTCACCGGCGATGTCACCAAGCTTTTATCACTGGAGCAGCAAAATAGAACGCATTCAGTTACAACAACTTTTGTCGCGCTCCATTTCCGTAAAAGGAACAATGCTTTCTAGAAACGTGAGCATCAGTCTAAACCATGCCTTCTAACTGGCTTTTAGCATTAATGCTGTCGAATCTAAATGACGGGAAGCTCAGTTGACCGCCGGCCGCTCGACTTGCAGAATGGAACGCAGCAGTTCACCATTATGTTAATGGTGCTGTACCTGTCGTACCCTAACGCTCCCGTGTCCTGAACAAATATCCTGACAAACGCTAAACCTTCAAATGGTACAAAAATGAGACAACACACGCACACACCATGCAGGAAAGCGCTTCGGTGGCTGCAGCAATGAGGGTTAGTTGTGGCGCTATGGCGTGCTGCAGCACTTTTGAGAACTAAAAAAATTAAACAGGCAAAAGCAAACCTAGCGACATGGAAAGCATTGGCATGAGCAGGTCATAAGTTTATAGAGGAGGTCGTGGCCATGACTCCTTGCTGCTTTGGCCATATTTGTATAGGCATTGCATACTGACCAGATGGAGCTGCGTTGCTCACTCTGCCCGTCTCAAAGTCTTACACATTCGCCGTTAGGGGGCACGCAGAAAATAGACGCGTGCTCGCGTCCCCCATGTATCCCGGCCTCAATCAGCTGACAGATGCAGGGCGGGAAATGCGCCTGTAGCGTTCCATTTTCATTGAGGCTGTCTCAAGGTTGCCTTTTTTTATCCACTAGGCTATGTATTCTGCTGCTGCAGTCAGACTGGAAAACTCGACTGAACGGTGCCTAGTGACACAGACGTGCTGTGCAGTCAAGCGTCTCGCCAGTGCAGTGTTTCAAGGCTTAATGTCTGTTCTTTGTCTTTCTTTTGCGGCTGCGTGACTATACTCGGCGACCACTTTTCTTGGCACTCGAAGGAAAGCTACGGGGGCGGAGGTTCTGAACAGTACCCGAAGTAGCACGTTTGGCGCGCATCTTGTTACGCTATAGGGAACCAAAGCTCAAGTTTGCGGAGTGATGACAATGCCGCGCCCTGGCACTGGCAGCGAGCTCCAGAACACTTGAGGAGAGAAGCGGGGGAGGTCGCAGGTGAGTCGGTGTGTTTCGCCGAAACGGGAGCGCGTGTAACACGCGCGCGACGCGTTCTGCAGTCGCTGCGGGGAACTAACGTGCCGTGCCGTCAGCTGGTCGCGCTAAAACGAGACGCTCACTGTGCGAAGTTGCTTTTCCGCGATGGAAGAAGTCTTCCCACGGATGCGTTGGCGAGGTCCGAAGTATTGTTGTGTTTAGGGCTGCCACAACAATGTAAACAACACCAGTGGACGCTCTCCAGGTGTAAAGCTGTATCAGTTTCTCAGCAAGTCACAGCGGGAGAACACGGCCGCGTTCGTGAAAGATAGAGCAAACATGACACGAGAGCCGAAAAAAAAAAAAGCGAGCACTTCTACTTGACTCGCTGGGGTTAAACTTAGCTTGCTGCTTCGCAGCGACGTAAGCAGGTCAAGCGCGGCACAGAGGACATGACTCTAAAACTTCCTGGACATTTTAATGCCGTGATCCTATAACTTTGGTTTTTATTTATTTTTTCAGCACGCCGCAAACGTTTGCTCATGACAGTACACAGCTGCTAGTGCTAGATACCACATCAAAACAACAATTATATGGTTTCTGTAAACATAAACCCAGCACATCGATAGAGTGTGCGGCTTCATGTCGGCAGAATGAGACTTACCTCGAGGCTGATACGTTGTACACGCTATTATCCCGGAGGATCCGAGAAATGCATTTCACAGTGACTCAGACGTCCTCGTCTTCCGTCGTCTGCTCCACATCATACATCATACACTTGACTAACGAGCTTTACTCCTTTGGTTCAATTCGATTCTCAGAAGTGCTTGTCCAGCTGAGAGATCTTTATAAAGCCGCACTGCAGGCAGCACATTGTGAGGTGACTCAAACGCAGCGCGCGCTCTCTGCTCAAGCCCGTAAGCGAGCGGCAGCGCATTGGAGCGAAGGGAAAACGCATCGTCTACATCCCCGGTTTCGACTTTTCTACCAAAGATGGTGCTGTTTGTCCGGAGTCGTAGCGCCACCATGCGTTGCTTTGGCTTCCTATAAGGAACCGAAGCTCAATTTTGCGGAGCGATGACTGCCCCTGACCCTGCCGGCGAGCTCCAGAAAACTTGAGGAGAGACGCGTGAGAGATTGTAGGCGAGGGAGTGTGTTTCGCCGAAACGGGAGTGCGTGCAACAGGGGCGCAACGCGTTCTGCTGTCGGTGAGGGAACTTAAGCGCCGTGCCGTCAGCTTGGCACGCTAAAACGAGACGCTCGCTGTGCGAAGTTGCCTTTCTGCGATGGAAGAAGTGGCCCCACGTAAGCGTCGGCGAGGTCTGAAGTATTGTTGTGTTATGGGCTGCCACAACAATGCAGACAACACCAAAGGACGCTCTCCAATTTTAAAGCTGTATCAGTTTCCCTGCAAGTCAGAGCCGGCACAGCCGCGTTCGCAAAAGATAGAGAAAGCATGACACGAGAGCGGGAAAAAGAAAAAAAAAAAAGACACTTCAATTTGACTCGCTGTGCTTAAACTTCAGCTTGCTGCTTCGCGGCGACGTTAGCGGGTCATGCGCCCAAGGCACGGAGGACATGACTCGAAATCTTCTCGGATATTTTAATGCCATGACCGTATAACTTTAGTTTTATTTATTTTTTAGCACGCCTCAAGTAATTGTACATGACAGTATACGGCTGCTACTGCTAGATACCACATCAAAATAACAATTATATGGTTTTCATAAGCATCAACCCAGTACATAAATAAAGTACACAGTTTCATGTCGTTAAAATGAGACTTATCTCGAGGCGTACATCATACACGGTATTATCACGGACCTGAGAAGTGCATTTGGCAGTGACTCAATGTCCTCGTCTTCTGTCGTCTGCTCCACATCATAAACTTGACTAACGAGCTTTACTCCTTTTGTTAGATACGCTTCTGGAAGTGCTTATTCAGCTCGAGAGATTTTTATGAAGCCGCACTGCAGGCGGTACATTGCGAGGTGACTCAAACGCAGCCCGAGCACGTAAGCGAGCGGCAGCGCATTGGCCAGAAGGGAAAATGCGCAATATACATTCTCGATTTCTACTTTTCTACGAAGATGGCACTGCCTGTCCAGAGTCGTAGCGCCACCATGCGTTGCTTTGGCCTCCTATAGGAAGTGACGAGGGTGCACTATCAGCGTTTTATGTATACGCAGAGCGTTTGAGCAATCAATTTGAGTTACACATAAAAAGGCTGGACGGTATCTCTCACGCATTTGATAATGAGAAAACCAACGAATATATTAAAAGAAACATGAATATTTTACTGATGTAAGCTACGTAATGTCTTAAATATCTCCACATAGAAAACAAAGGAACAGCTTTTATATTTCACATAAAAAAAATGGCTGCTAATGTGGAATTGCATGTTGTCGAGTATAGGATAGATCAAATTAACTGTCCCAGAGCGTCCTTGAATATTCGGGAGCACAGCCACATGTTTTTGCGAGTATTGTCTTGTGTTCAGACCGTTGACTCATTGCGAGAACTCTTACGCAGGGATGGCAGATATGGAAGCATCAGCTATTTCATTCACAACTCCCTAGGAAAGCAGTCCACATTAAATATCTGCCGGTTGAAAAATATTACAAATGCAACAAAAGCTCTCAATTTGTTACATGATAGCCACACCTTTGCTCTATTGCCCTCCCATCAAGTTGTTTCTGAAGGAAACCTGCCTGTATTGAAGCAAAATATTTATTGCTAATGACTGTACAGCAGTGAGTGAAATTTAAAGCTAGTGGGTAAAGTAATGCACCGGCTACAAACGTTCAAGTAGCGTTTCTTGAAATATTGAAAATGTATATTGGAAAATTTTTTCTCTAACAAGTTTTTTTGATAACAGACCTAAAAGACCTAAAATATTTTAATGCAAGAAAACTGAAAGTTAAGCAAACATAATTATGAAGACTGGAGGTGTACGATAAGGTTTGTTTCATGTTTTTACTTCAGCTCTAACAAAAGAGACATAACATCGAATTTTTAATTTATATGTGTATTATGGGTGCCCTGCCGCTGTGGTCTAGTGGGTTAAGGTTAAGGCTGCTGACCCGCAGGCTGCGGGATGGAATCCCGACTGCGGCGGCTGCATTTTCAATGAAGGGAAAAGGCTGTAGGCCTGGGTTCTCAGATTTGGGTGCATGGTAAAGAACCCCGAGTGGTCAAATTTTCTGGAGCCCTCCACTACGGCATCTCTCATATGGTGATTTTGGGCCGTTAAACCCCACATGTCAATCATATGTATTTTGGTTATATCCTCACAATTTATAGTTGTCTCAGGGTCCAGAAATGCTGTATTTTGAATTTAGTGCATGTCTTTAACAGCTAGTACTGAGACAAAAAGTAATAATTAGCTGGAATTAGATGATCAGATATGTAACTACACTTTTCAGAAAATTGCAAAATACGAAGAAAAAACTTTTTTAGATTAATGCTATAAGCTAATGATTGTCTATCATGGGGAAAAAGCATTTTGTAGTCCCGTATGCAGGATAATTTAATTGCCTATAGTTTGGAAGGATCCGGGAGAGTAATCTGCATGGACTTATCTCACTGTCTGCCCTTTTCTGCTTATGCTAATAATTTGGCTAAATATTGTAACGACGTTTATTTGCAGCGCAGAAAGCGAAGCAGTCAGCAGCGTCCGGCCAAGCGCAGCAAGCACGAGCTTATACTGATGGCGCTGCCCCTGATGTGCCAAGAAATGCCGCTGAAGCTCCTCTTCTTCACTACAATCGCCCTCCGCACAAAAAGACGCCATCCTGGCGGATTAGGGAGAAGAAACGACTAATGGGTCGTAATATGGCTTGAGACGAGAGACGTGGACAGTGTCGCGGCCGCGGTAGCATAGGTCTGTGGATGGGATGATGGGCTCCACGATATAGTTGACGAGTGACGTTTGCTCTACAACGCAATATGGCTTCGGGCACCTGCTACCGCGCCTGGCCGCTCCGCTAAACTTCTTCCCAAATACATCGGGCTTCACTACAATATCGACACTTGCTGTAGTGTGAGGTGCCTTCATAACATGTTCACTGTGACTTTTTTTCGTCTTTGGCTTGAACACAGTTCCTTTTGTTGTGGCAGCAGCTGTGACACTATGTTATAAATCAATCTTTTAATGATGCATGCACTGCAGTACAGTGTTCTACAAGGGGATCAAATGTAGCTGCCTTCTGACCTCTTCTCTTGAGGCCTACCTTTGCACTTTGTTGTCAACTGCTGTGAGCAGCCTCTTGCATTTTTAATGTGTTCCTATTTATACAATAGTATCGACCATTTATTTTTCTCTGGTTCTTTCTGTGTATACAGGGATACTTTGGCAAGGGGACGCTTTCGCGTTCTGCTCCGAGATTCAACACTGACATCAATGCGGAGGACCCTGTTCAGGAAAGAGCAATGAGTTTTCACAGGTAAAAACAACTGCTGTCAGCTGGACACTGCGAAGTATTGTATCCTATTACAGAAATTACCTTTTTACTTGTAGTCCAGCGTGTTCTCAGGTGTGTGAATAACAGTACTGAACAAAACGATTTGATGTCGCTTTCTACGAGTACTTCGTCACCTACATTTTGGAGTTGTCAATAAACTTCTCTTTTTTTTTTTTTGAACAGTTTGTCAAGCAAATTGTCACTGCTGCCAAGTCACAGTTCAAAAACATTCTTGCATTGCCATGTAGCCCTAATTTTAAATTTGCCAATTAATTGATGTTCATTTGTCGCCCACATTTATGAGTCCGTGAAGAAATTTATGTTCATGTTTTTCTTTAGTTTTCTATCTCTTGTTCGTTTTGTGCTAAATTTACAGTAGCGTACCCTGCCTATCACGTGGCTATCTTTCCAGCTATGTTTAGCGTTACCTATGGAACTTCATGCAGTTGTGTGTCTGGTTTGCTTCAAGAAGCCGTGGTCTGAAGTTTCACATGTGCTTTTGAAGTGATGACATCTAAAGTATTATGTAGTCTCTTCACTTATTTGCATTACAGTAAAATGTGGCCTGTGAGATCACTAAAGTATTGAACTCTTTCGGCCACAGTATGTCGTATTTTCATTAAATTTGGGCAATAATAAACTGGTGGTGAGTGCACAATTGTTTCTTTTTAAAATAAGTGTACAAAAAGAAAAAGAGATATGAAAAGCATTCATAGGTACAGGCAAGGTCAAAGAGCCATGCAATACAGGTTCGAAAAAACAATCGAATAGCAGGCTGGTTTTATTGCGTAGGCATTAATGCTTCTAGCATTATGTTGGTGGTTGCATACTCTAGTTCGGGGAACAGAGTAGAAATGCGAACTGCCTGTTCACATGCATTCAGCCAAGCGGCGCAACCGCAATCTTATGTCTGTGGCCATGCCATTGAGATGCAGAGCAGTGCCACTGGAGCCACTCTTTTTGACTACACGGTGCATGCGAGCTAATTAAGTTCTTGAATGGTTGCGATAAAGTGACCAAACTCTCAAGTTCAGATGGAGTTGGATTGTAATTTTTATGGAAACAGATTAACATGCTAACATTGATGTTTTTTTTTTACTTCATAAAGTTCTTATCTTGCAAAAGCATTGCATTATAATTACAAAATGATAAATTGAGCTTAAGTGAGATTTATTGATATTTTGCAGTGAATTATGAAGGAAAAGAAACTAGAAGTGAACAAAATCGAGCATTGAGTTTCTAGGCTAAAATTTTTGCGTACACACAAATTTGCATTTTCAGCCCTGCCAAGTGAAGGGCAATAATGCTTGGTAATGGAACTTTCTGCCTTATCAGCCTCACCCACAAATTATTTGTACGTGTTACTGCAACCTTCATGTATCACAGCTTCATGTTCAACTACTGTTGAAATTGGTGCATTTATTTTTAATTTCTTTTACTATTTACTTTATTAGGTGTATTAGATAGAATGTGAGCTCTTTGCAATAACCTCTCACACAGGCCATGTCAGACACATGGGGCAAGTGTTGGCATATGCTTTAATTGTTCTGTGCATAGCAGCTATCGGTAGTCTGTAGGTCTATACACAAGCACTGTGGTGTGAGTGGGGGTTTGTGTTTTCATTGAAATGGAACAAGGCCTGCTTTCATTAGGGACATTTAGCATGTCGAGTATCTTATAAAAAAAACAAAACAATTGTGCAGGTTTTTGGACAGTGAACACTCGCTGTCATGGCAACAGGTGGCGCTGATGAACGCTCCCACATTTAAATGCACATATATACCCTATAATGTGGACAGGGGAGGAGGGGTGGGTGGCCGCTATTGTAGCTGAGTGGTAGAGCATCGAATGTGTTATCTGAAAGGTGCTGGTTTAAATCCTGCAAGGTATCTTTTTGGGTACTTTTCTTTCTTCACATTTACATTACAATTACTTCTAATCACATTCCCTATACTTTCCCGGACATTATTGTCTCTTAGTTTTCATTAATAGTTATTGGACTGCTTTTTTGCCTGTGGATGATGCTGCAATCACCAAACCTCCGCTATTTTGGCCAATGGCGTGCCCCTGTTTTGATACAAGGATTGTATGGGGAAGGTTCCTACTTGCATGAGTGAAGAGCATTGCTGCATAATGGTACTGCTGGTACGACTGTTCACATACTCACCTCATGTTACCCAGTAATCTTCAAACACCCAGTCTGCTTACTAACCGAAAATATTCTGCATAGTAGTCATTGTAGGCAACTTTCAGAGGAAAATAAAAAAGCCTCATTAAATGATGCCATGTCAATCCGGGAGACTCCCAGATTTTAATCGTTTCTTCCGTTTGTACGGTTGTCATAAAAATCTCCCGAAAATAGAAATTTCTGTGCGTGATCTGGCCGCATTGACAAAAATGCAGGCCGGTCCGCTCCAGGCTTTTTGCGAGCCCACCGCATTTGATTCAAATTTAGGTCTTTATCTAAACGTACAGTATTCTTAGTGATGCAAAACCATTACAGATACGAATTGGCGAAATTTCCCAGCCAAATTCCACTGTGTCCGTTGGGCCAAAATTTGAATGTTTCGAACACTTTTACTAATCACAACATGTCATATTGTCACGAGACTTCAAAAGTGCAAGGGGCTTTTAATGAGCCAGCTCTTGAGATGTAGCCAGCTCTTGAAAAGTGCTTCCGTCGCGGCTGGATCTTTAGCGAAGAAGACGCACGCAATCTTCTTTTCTTTTTCAGGGTGAGAGCCGCTCTTGTTTTCAACCCAATACATGCAGGTGGCAATATGAACTTTAGTATTGAAATCGTTGAACGAAGGCTGATCGAGAGCAGCGTGTTCGAAGCTTCAAAAGTAAGCGGGCGACCAGCGCACGCACTGTTCTCTACATTGTGTGTGGTGGTTGCCATAACTGCTGTGGATGAAACCGCAGTTGTTCCTGACACAATCATGTATGGCGACGATGTTACTGACAGAGCTCCGAAAGTGTGCACATGTCCAACGCTCGACCAGTCAAAGCAGTGCTGCTTTCCGAAAACTTGTAGACAGTACCACGGCAGATATGATCATAGGTAGCATGTGATCACAGGTAACGCACACGGATTGAAATCAGAACTATAGTTTGCCTCAACCGCTGCGCACAAAACCGTGGTCGCGGTGACACGATATCGATCGACGAGCTCTGAGAGCACGTGGCTAACGCAGAGGTAGATTAAAGGCAGTAAAGATGTAAGAAAAAAAAAAAAAGGCTAGAAGCGTTTTAGCGTTTATGCCCAAAGAACCTAGTAGCGAGCAAAGCCAAAGCTTTGACTTGTGCTTTCGTGCCAGCCAGCTGCGCCAATCTCGTTCGTTCATGTGTGTCCCAGGGAGACATACGCAAATTGTTTTTACGGAAATAAATATTGCTAGTTGTTTTGATGGCGTGAAATTTTTGGCGCATTCGTGCTCCCCCTTCCGAGACTCACCTTAGTGGGAAACCTGCCTCATGTGTTCGACCACTCGAAGCCATCATAACACTGCAACGCCGATGTTAGCGCTTGCTATTGGGACCTTACCCCCTCTCTCTTTTTTTCTGCGATTTTTTTTGTGCCAAAAAATGGTGAAAAATAATTCAGCGCGCCGGCCTTCCCCTTGCCCCACATTGCGAAAATCTCCCTTATTCAGAATCCTTGAACTTGGCAGGTATGCATGGCTTTATTTTTTGCTCACGAGAACATGGCTGTTATGCGTGTTTACAGTTCTTTTTAATAAAGCTGTGTATATTCAGTGGGGAAAGTGCTACAGATGCTTGCCACATGCAGAGGCAACCGTAGTTATTCTTGGCGAATATTTCAGCGTAAGCAGTGGCACACAAGAACTGAATAGATACCTGTTTCATGTTGAATATTTTACCTGAAGTAGTGGTACACAAGAACTGGATACTAGATACCTGTTAACAGCACGACATCGGAACATTGCATTCATGGATTGAGTAGACCCTTGTGAGCACACTTGGTGGTAGGGCCCAGAAATGAGCTCATGCGGAACTTACTCGAGAGTATGACCAGCAGCTTTTAGAAGGGTGTGAGTAGTCGTGTGTGCAAACAAGTGTGCGGCACTTTTGGGTGGTTGCAGTTCGAAGCAGTGCTTTCTGTTATGCAGTAGCCATGTATTGTTTGAACGAGTGGCTCATTAACTGTCCTGTCATCATTGCCTTGTAGGTACCAGCGACACAAGAAGCTTCGTGAGAAAGCCGAGGCGGAAGGGACTGTCGAATCGAACTCCAACCTGGACTCGCCAAAGGTTATTCTGGTCAGACTCCGAGGCAGCGACGAGAAAGAATCGAGCGGTGATGTCACTGTCGTTTCAGAAACTAGACCCCGCAGACCGGTGCCCATAATCTTGGCGAGGGGCAAGAACCGTAATCGCGGAGATAAGGATGTAGGCGAATCGGCGGACACTGACGACCGTGCGCAGAAGGAAGATGAGAATGCTTGGAGTGAAAAGGTAGGGGATGGCGAAGGAAGCGAGAACAGTGGTGACAGGATCTGCAACATAGATGAAGGAAGCGACCCAGAGACCACAGACGAGGAAACCACGAATGCCAAAGCGGGTGACGAGAACCCAGACGTTTTCGAGTGCAACTCTTTGGGCGAGCAGATCACCGAAAGTGGCAAAGACTGCGTGCAGTTGCCCTCGCTGAAACCACAGAATGTGGTCGATGACAGCAACGACATTATTGAAGTGGACCGCCAGACTGTTGCAGAGATTGCTAGGGAAGACGACGAGCCCCTCGTAGTGGAAGAATCTCTGCACAAAAAAGGTACTGAACGAGGAAACCTAAAGAAGTCTGCTTTTCTTGTCATTGTTGATTCTATTACTGGGATGAGGGAACCCCTGTTATGTATCTACCAGTTGATGGTAATTCAGATGCTCCTAGCAGAGCCTTTAGAGAAAACTAAACTAAACTAGTCATAATAAGCAGGATAAGTCATATTCATTTCTTGAAATGTGACGCAGTTAAGTGTAAACTTTTTTCCTTTTGTTTCTTCGAGATCTTTCTTGTGTTTGGTTTCTTTCACTCCCATGGTACGTGGTCGGTAGAGAATTTTGCTTTTTTGTGTGTGACACAAATGTGAAAAGCAGCATCAGATAGTTTGGCTTTTAATTTTCTTGTTCAGTGACAACACTTAGGTTCTTACTATGAACAGGTCATGAATGTTATGCTGATGTCATTGGTTTTGGGCCAGGAGATGCCATATGTCTGTCAGGTCACGTAGTGCGAATCGTTTGTTGGCTCTTATTGAAGTCGTCGGCGTCTCAAGACGTTGCTACCAAAACCAGTGTGCGAGCCTATGTTGCTGATATGCCGTAGATGATGATGCATAGATTAAGACATTTTTCTAAAATGTGGAATCTACGCACTGACATGGCAATTATAATCATATGTACAGCCGCGGCCACGTCTGTTTAGAGCACGTGAGGAGCCGGTTTTCGCTCTGTGGAGTGAAACCTCGAGGCAGTTTCGGGCTCTGAAGTGCTGCATCAGTAGCATGTGCGTCCTAGCTGTCAGGCTGACCACATCAAAGCCCGAAACCGCCTCTAGGTTTCGCCCCATGGAGCGAAAACCGGCTCCTCACGCGCTCTACACAGATGTGGTAGCAGCTTTACCTAGTGCAAACTGGCTGGATATGAGAATCCAGTGACACATTTATAAAATGCATTAATTTTTAATCACCTGCTGGCCACATGATGCTCTTGTCTCTGTTTCGGCTCCCATTAGTGCTTTTTAGATTAATATTTTTTTAACTGCGGCTCACTGTAATCTCTGGCAGCTCACACTTCGCTGGCACTCTGGGCATAAGTGTCGGCTGATGCTATGTCAATCAGTTGTGTAGAAAGATATCTATTTGCTTATAATGTTTTTACTAGTTGATCTGGATTCAAATTTGATGCTCTGTGGTTGTGGAAGCAATTTTCACTGGTTCATTTAGAGGGGCTGCCACTTCTTACTGCTCGGTTTGATCGGGTTCCTCCGACTTGCTCCACCACTTAGCTTTGGCCTCTGTCAGATATGAGGGGATAAGTGCACGTCGATTTGATTTTCGTGTCATACCTGTATTTAACATTGCGCCTACTTTGCTGTGGGAACATACAGGGTGAGGGTTGGGCACCATCGCTGAAGCCATTTATTGTGATGTGTGTGCACAAAATATTTGAGCAGTTCCCTGCACAGCATTAGCTCCCTCTGCTGCTTAGTTTTGTAGTTTTCGATGGATGCAGTGCGAGTGCTTGCTCCAGGGTTTCGATGCCCGCACCAGATTGTCCAATAAAAAGCGCCATCAGCTGATCGATAGTACACCTGCTGGGACAGAAAAATCTGCATATGACATCTTCCTTTTCGCACTTTACTGCATTTTACATATTACCATATAGTTGTGACTGTGAAGAAGTGTGAAGAAGGCTGCAGTGAGATTGGCAAATTGGACGAACCTGTGCCTGGCAAGTAAGCACTCGGAGGTGCAAGTAATGTGAAGTGCTGGGCCGTGCCCCCACAACTGGAGGCAGAAAGTAGCATCCTTTTTCTATATTCCTTTTTCCCAAAACCACTCTCTCTCTCTAGCTGACAGTGGCAAGAACCTGTTTTTTTTTATACATGAATGATAAAAAGTTACAGCACTATTGCTGGGGCTTATGCTGGCTTCAGAACAAGTGTGATTGCTCATGTAATTCACGCAGTATTATCACAGTAGTCAAAAACAATGCAAAATATTCCAAAATATTGTGACACATCTTACGCCGAATGGTGATAAGTGTCTTGGGGGAGGGGTGAAATCTAGTCACATCAAAATAAAAAGTAAGCGTGTGATAATATATGGAAGTACAAAACAGTTGATGGTGCATTTAGAGCACCAAGTGGTGCCAGGCTCTCAGCATTGCATATTTGGTCTCTTCCCTAACTGCCAGGAAGCGAAGAGGCTGACGACACTCAAGGAGGATCCACCTCAGCGCTAGTGGGGAACGAGAAGGACACTGATGGCAGTTCTGAAGAAATATCAGTCACGGACCAACGAGACGAGAAGGAAGAGGGGCCACTCGAGATTGACCTGTCTGCACCGGAGGCAGGCTCAGAAAATTCCGTTAAGATGGCAATACCTGAGGAGCAGAAGGACAGCAAAGCAGGCCTGCTTGAAATAAACCTTTCAACTAGTGAGACTCCCACTGGCAGTGCCGATCAAGCGAGCCCGGGCAAGCAGGAAGGCCAACATGCAGTGAAGACTCGACGGCACGAGGAGGGAGGCACTATTGGCAGTGACGACGATGAAGTTGAGTTAGTAAATGCTGACGCCGGTGACGAGCCTGAAGTTTTCTCAACTGAAGACCCATGGCCTATCATGGAATCGCTGCAGCTTCTATTTGAAGAGGCAAGTATGGTGGCGTTATGCTCAGTACATGGATTTCATTGCATGCATGCATCAGCGCGCATAAAAAGCGTTAGTGTACTTGTGTATTTTTTGCATTTGCCTGTGTGCATTTTGCATAATAATGTGCTATGTATATGCCACCACTGGTGGCATAACCTCTGGTTGTATAACTGTCAGTGCCAGTTAATGGAAGATCTTTATGCCAGCCACCCCCCCCCCCCTTTTTTTTTTCAAATTTTATAAATAAATCACCATGATGTCAGTTCAAGTTTGGTACAATATTAACTTAAGTTTTCTTGTGAGTGCTAACCTTTATCGTTTTTCAACTTCATCTTTTGAAAAGCTGTCATTTGATTTGAATAGAACTGAAGTGAAATTCTAACTGCTGAGAAGCACTGTTTAATGCAACTTCTTTGTGGACAGTTTCAGTCATATGCGCGAGCTCTGGTGATAATAATTGATGGAATTTAATGTCCCAGTATCACCATATGATTATGAAAGAGAGCATGTCGTGGAGGGCTCCAGAAATTTCGACCACCTGGGAGTCTTGCACCTAAATCTAAGCACACAGGCCTTGAGCGTTTTGGCCTCAATCGAAAAAAGCTCTGGGGACTTTTATTATCAGTGAGCTCTAACTGTTATGTAATTTTATCTTTGTCTGCTCCCTCTTTCATTGTTCCTTTACCTACAACAGGTCAAGTTTGATGACATACTTCTTGAGATGGTGAATGGTATTCATCTGATCTCCTTCCCTTTTGTATTGTTGTTGTTGCAGGCCTACTTCCTCTCTTATGGCTTGGGGTGTCTCATTGTTAAGGATGGGGATGAGGTAAGTCATAACCATATAGAACATTTTGTTAATAATAATATCTGGGTTTTGGTATTGCAAGACCACGATATGATTATGAGGGACACTGTAGTGAAGGGCTTTGGAAATTTCGACCGTCTGAAGCTCTTTAATGTGCACTCACATTACACATTACATGGGCCTCTACGATTTCACCTCCGCTGAAATGCAATCGCCATAGCCGGGATCGAACCTACAACTTTCAGTTCAGCAGCCAAGCACCATGACAACTGATCCACCGTGGCGATTAGTACATTTTATTGGTGCGTTTACTGGAATTATTCTGTCTATTTAGGTGGAGGAATCGTCCCGAATCGAAAAGAAAATGCCACAGTTTCATCACAAGGGCAAAGCAATCAGTGCGGTATGGGACTTTAATACGAGGTAATGCTAGCAGCTAACTCCTTTCACGTCCGTCCTGGCGCAACTTAACAAAACTTTGGTGTGAAGAATTATGGGTGCTGCAGTGAATGAGGCATCCTTTGTGCTGTTCATCACTTTGTAGAGCAGGGAGATGTGATGGCAGCTGATGAGGCCATGCCACTGGTGCTGTTTTATTGGGACACACAAGAGTGTAGGCTAGAGACACAAGCGATTGCAGCTCATGTGTTCAGGCCATCCAAGAGTCAGAACATTCTAACCATAGTAAAACCTCGTTCATTGGAAGTCACTGAGATCGTGACAAATCTTCAAATTAAGTGAATTTTCGAATGAACAGAACATAAACAAAAAGTGGGATGCAAAGAACTTGAACTTTTATAATAATGCAGGGCTCAACGTTTGCTGTGCTGACTAGTTCGCGGCTGCAAAGATTATGTTTTCCAGCAATACCAAATCACAGTTTTGCTGCAAAAAAAAGGGGGGGTGGACGTCTAGCCTCGCTGCCGCAATCGAAACAAAACAAAACATCGTGATCAACTGAATTGCACGCCTGCAAAAAATAAGACATTTTCATTGCAGCGCTGTAGTGCCACGTGGGCAGCATGTTGTCTGCACTTCGCTGCGCCAGCACGTCATGATGCGACCACCCGCCCATTTTTTTTAGTAAAATAGAAAATTTAACAATGAACAGTGGGACGAAATTCGGGATGTTTTGGTTGGAAAACATGATCATTAAAGCTTCCGAACTGAGTTTCTGAAGTAAGTGTAGCAGGCAAGAACTCTGCCAGCAGTGCGAGTACGCAAATTGCTGGAGCAACTGGCATTCAGAGGTTCGCCTACATCACGAATTCTGCCAGACTGTCCTTTATTAATTTCTTTATATTCTCGGAAAGAATGGGTAAATCATGACGCGCTGATGTTGCAAGATCCTTGCAACATGCTGCCCGTATGTCACCGCTGTGCTGCAGTGAAGCACATTTTATTTCCCGCAGGGGGGCGGAGGAGCGCAGAATTTCAGTTGATCACAAGATCGTTCTTTTTTACAATTTTTTTTTCTGCTGGAAGTATCGAGGCCGGGGTTTTGAGCTGCCACTCAGCATATCGCTACAGTATATTGCCTATTGGCTTTTATGGGCTGTCGTGTCCGCGGTTTTACGGCGAAATCGGGATCGGGAATTGGTACACTGATCTCAATGTTTTTGAATTAAGCGGACTGGTGCTGACCGCCACTTCAAATCATCTGCTCAAACTTACATCACAATATATAGGACTGTTGAACTACTTCAAATTGAGTGGTATTTTGAAATAACTGAGTTCGAATGAACGAGGTTTTACTGTACCTCGTGCCACCACAAGCCACGCAGCGGCTTTCTTTTTCCCTGGCAAACTGGCTGCGAGTGATGCGGCGCTACAAGTATGCAAGAAGGTAGAAGCAGTCTCTCGATGTTGGGTCATATAAGGTGCATTTGGCTGCACATGGTCACTAAATGTACACAGTTCCTGCAAAAGCCTTGCAGCACCCCTTCCAGGACACCCCTTCCACTTGAATCTTGCACCTGACTGAAGACTGCTGGTGTATTTCGTCTTTGCTTGAGCAGCGATTGTTGTCTGTCCTCGCATGCTTTCACTTGAACATAGAATGTACGACACCTGGAGTAATGCTATTGGCCTCGAACTATATGGAACCTCACGGTGTCGGCAAAAGTGCACCTGGAGTACCCCCCATAGTTTATCTTGCAATGAGAGGAACAAACTAATTGTCCGAGTTTGTTGCGATTGTTTGTTGTTCTAGTCTTAGGCTTCTTTAAAACAGTGTCACTTTGTGTAAATTATTTTCTGTTAGCAATGGTGAAATGAATGGATTGTGTGACTGTGTCATGTCAGCTGCTGTCGTAAAGTAACTTTATGTCTAAATAGGCCAGCTGACTGTGAAGACAATAAAATTATATGGTATGTAGATCATGGTTAAACGAACTGATAAAGCATATACAGTACAGCCTAATGGACACCTCATTCTTATTATTAGGCTCTCTGGGAAACTATAATATGACTCAAGGTTTTCGATACACTAAAATATTGTATGCTGTGTTGATAAATTCTGCAGCAACACTAAAAAAGTAGCATGCCTTGTGATAAAACTGATTGGAAAATGTAGGCTGAATGTAATACAAGGGTCGACTCCTGCAAGTACTCATCATGATGAGTAGTAGAGCAGTTTTGTGAGGATGTTGAATGCGGTGCAAAAGGTAGCAAAAGGTACCAACCCAGTTCGCCGGTCATGGGAGAATTTAATGCGAAAGTAGGAAGAAAGCAGGAAAAACATGAAAGCAAGAAGGGACATGAAACATTTCTCAGGAAAGGCGGATCACTCGTACAGGAGTGCAACTGCTGCGCAAATTGTGCCAATTTGATACGATTCTCGATTGTTTTGCCGAGCTGCGCCAAAACCATGAAACTTGCTGAAATTGGGCCACGCTGCTCCAAAATGTCGAGCCAGCCTCAAAATTTTTTCATGTGCGCTAATTTCGGTGAGAAGTGCAGGCCATGCCGGCCACTTGCAGTTTGCGCCATCAGTCAAAGTGCGCAGACCCTAATTATAGTGCCTAGAATATACTTAAAATATTCTTGGCACCCGCCCTATGCGATTGACCACATAAAGTAATAACGCTGCGTGCCCATCGGTTCGCTGACCACAGTGGATACCTATCGGCGGGACGACGGAACTTCTAGGCAAAAGCGTTTTGCTGTCTATCAACCATTCGCGGGAAAAGTAAATTTCTTAGCCTGAAAACACGGCTACGGCTTTTTAGGAACTGAAGCTGGAAGCGCAGGCCGTGTTTTCCTCGCGTAAAGAAGCTCAACGTGCTGCAAATGCCAGCGTTGCCAGCAATCACATTGATTGCCTTAGTAGTGGCCCATAAAACTTTTTTTTTCTATGTTGGAGTTGTGTTGTCGCAGCCACAGTCCTGGCGAAAGATATTTGGTACCATCGCCGGGCCAATGAGCGCGCGCACCATTGTTACTTTACCTGGTCGATCGCGCCTTGCAAGGGAGCTGAAGGGGCGCCTAACCCCACAATAAAAAAAAAAGGGGGGGGGGGGGGGGGAAGTGGGAGGGTTGTAATTGTTAGAAAGATTCTTGGCTTTAGTTTTATTGCTGCTTAAGCCACATTCACTGCAGTACGCCGTTACCGGTGCCCTGCGAAAAAGCGTGTGGAGATTTAGAAGGGGCTGTTAGCGTTATTGGGACACTGCACATTTTGCTCAGTTACTTATGCGTTTGTACGCCACATAATTATGAGTACCAGTATAATCACTGATGTCTAAGGAAGCTACTGGCAATCATTTCAAGCAGTGTATGAGATTACTGCTTCACTAAAAAATAAAAAACTATATTGTGCGCCAGTTTCTTTTTTAGCCAACCCCTACTCCTCTGTTTTACGAACCTCCCAAATTTCAAGTTGCGAACTTAGAAAATGATATTTAAATTCGCAGAGTCTGTCAAACAGTTTGAAAGGTGCAGGAAATACTCATATGGGCTTTATCATTGTTTGCGCAGTGGCTTCGTTCAAAAAACGGCTTTCCTTGAAATAGCAGTTTTCATGTTTACACTACAGGATTTAGGTGATGTTGCATGGCTTATACATATTTTTTTTCTAAACGTAAGCCTTTTTTGTACTGCTGCAAATTGGTATTTCATGATAAAAAAATGCTTGTTTTTTTCTCCATAACCTGCTTCAAATTAGGATTTTAGTGCTCCAAAAGTAACATTTTGCAGTTCCAAAAATTGCTCCAAATTGTGTTTCGGCTGTCGTGCCCCTACTCTTACAAAGAAAAACATTGTTTATTTGCAATTTCACCCACTGCAATGAGGTACAAAGCTGAGGTTCTAGGTTTATCCTAAAACCAATGACAACATCCGGAGCTGACAACATTTGAAGGTTAATAAAACCACCTCTGCATAGTGTCATACATTAGCAATCACATAAATGGCAGCCACTACATCTATCATACATTAAAAGGCGTCTGTGCTTCTTTTTATGCTTACTTGCACCAGATAGCAGCGTAACGTTTGTCAAATGTCAGACTGCATTTAATGATGGGCATGATATGGGCAGTTAGTGAACAATGCGATTCTCATTTTGGCGAGCTAAAAGTGGATTAAAACTGCAGGACCTGGACCTCCTCAAGCTGTGGCAGAGGTTTTGTGGACTGCACGACAACTTTCCTGTCAGATACTGCGCCTATCACCACTTTCGTAGCAAAGGCTGGGTGGTTCGGTCCGGAGCAAAGTTTGCTGCTGATTACCGTATGTACTGGAAAGATATTTGGGTGTCAATTTAGTGACAGACATGATGCATGTTACACTGTTCTATGCATTTGCTGCAGTTGGTGTTTTAGATGCGAAGCAGCTCTTTGACCAGCCTGTGTAAGGTTGTCCCGTACGTCCATGCAAACCCCTTCGCCTTAGGTGTTGGAGATGTGCCAAGTAGGTCAAGTCGCAGCTGCGTGTTGCTGTCACTCACTCACCCGTAGCAGCTGCCGACCCCTCCTCCCACTTGCAACGCACTTCTCTCTCTCTCGCTTCACCCTCTCCACTACCCACGACGCTTGACAGCACGTCGAGTGGAAACCCTAGACCGATTTAGTTGCACGTCGGCAGCAGCGGTAGGGACGCTGCCTGTGGCTGAAAGTGGCTAGCAGGCTACATTCGTACAGCTGCTGTGGACACGCAACTAAATCTGTCTACGCTTTTCGCTCATTTATGTGTGATGAAACTTACAGAAAACCCAACCCGCCTCCCGTGTCTCTGTGTTTCAAACAAACGTTTACTTGATTAAACGCTACACAGAGTTTCACTTCAAACTGTTCTTCCAGCAATAGCGTCGACGCCTGTTTCAACAGGGACAATGTCATGCACACCACTGCTGCTTCACATCCCATCAGATTTTTCTGGTGGCTGAGCGAGGAAGAAGAAGTGCGTTTGGGCATAATTCTGCCTTGAACAACTTTTGTCTTTTCTTAAAGTGTCAGAATTCCTGACTTTCTCTGAACAAGCAGAACAAAGGACGTCACCCCCCCCCCCGGGAGGGATCCATCCAGCGAGACCGCGGGCCCCAGCCCTTTGCCTAATGATGGACCGAAGGTGGGTGACCGCGTTGGCGCATCTGCTCCTTGTGATGATTCCACTGACAGCTCATCAGTGGAAGAGATGGAATCGGAAGCTGAATTTAGGACATTGAATACCTGCCGGTTTAAAAGGAAGCTTCGCAGGATGTTATCAACAGTGGAGCCACAACTGGCGCTGGACAAAGACAAGCGATGTTTCACCATCTCGTATGTACCCATGCGTACATCAGACAACCTGAACTCACTCAACGGGCAGTCATTGAGTTATTATTTCGAGCGAATTGCACCTGCTCAAGTGAATGAAATTCGCACAAATAGCAGGAAAAACATATTGTCAGTTGATGTGACAAACAAAATAATTTTTGACAGACTGAAGGCTGTCACGCAGCTCGGAAGTATCTCAGTTTGCGCATTCCTCGCTCATGAGAAAGGAACAACGACTGGCGTGATAAATGACGTCGATATCACGGACACTGACCTCCAGAATCTTGTGACGTCGACAGTCAGAATCGTGACCATACGCCGCTTCGGGCAGTCTCGCTGCATCAAACTTCTGATGATTCTGAGACTCTGCCTCCTAGCGTGAAGCTTGGATACGTGAGACATACCATGCGCCCTTACGTGTCACTGCCTTTGCAGTGTCACAAATGCTGCAAGTTAGGACACGTCAGCGCAGTGTGCAAAAGTGAGACAATTTGCCAGCGGTGCGGTGTATCTCATAAGGTGGAAAACTGCGATACTGCTGTTCCATTGAAATGTACAAACTGCTCTGGTGCACATGAAGCAACGTCGAAGGAGTGCCCGAAGATCAGAGAAGAAATTCGTGTCCTGCAGAAGACGGTCAGGGACAACTCGACAGACAGAGAGGTTGTCACGTCCATCAGCCCACACAGATGTTGTTTCAAACGTAGGCACCAGCGAAACCATAGTGCACATAGGACTTATGCATCACCAACAGCAACAGATGAACATACGCGTGCGCATTATCAGGCTGCTACACCCATGTTGTATGCACCATGTCCCAGGGATGCAGAAAGTGAACCAACGCCCACGTTGCACACCGATGCTTCAGATACTGAGTGGCCTTCACTACCTTTCGGAGCAATAAAAAAGACCACATCATGGGCTGCAACTTCAAAGAGGGCGGAAAATGATAGGCAAGACACTGATAAGAACCAAACTATGCTAAAGCATCTACTAAAATCTGTTCATGCCATTCTCATCGAGCTACAGACACCAGGTGCGAAGAGAGCAGTGCAGATCCTCAATGTGCTGGAACCGCTACTGCTGGCCCTTCCATAAACAATGTGGTGAATTTCTTTGATGAACGTGTGCGCACCTCTATAACGCAGTGGAACCTAAGAAGTTTGCAAAGCCAATTGTCTGACTTTCGACAATGGATGTTTAAATAAAAATTTCCGTTGGTTGTTATATGTGAGCCGTTTCGAATTTCCGGATACGTCACTTTGTGGTCACGTGATGATCGAAATGTGAGCAAAGTAATTATCTGCGTACGTTAAGATTTAACGTATGTGAGGCATGCCGTGGCTCCTCATGCTTCTAATGACTATATTTGCCTATCTATAAAGCACAAGCGACGTTCATTATCAAGCATAGGCGTATTTATCCCTCCTAGAATGCACGTGGACTGTTCCCATCTCTTGTCTGTGCTTTAAGCTTGCCCTGGACCACATGTATTAGTTGGGGATTTGAATGCACATCATTCCATGTGGGGTTCTGCCTCAATGAACACCCACGGTAGGGACACTGCCGATTTTGCACTCACTCAGGGCCTGATGACCATCAACGATGGCTCACCTACTTACCTCCGTGGCGCATCGTACAGCAGCTGTCTGCACGTATCTTTTGTGAGCAGAAGTCTCTTGCCCACCACCTGTTGGTTCGTAGACGTTGAAACACATGGAAGTGGCCATCTCCTTACATATATAGAGCTAAAAGGATTCCGTCGTTCGACTCCCTTGCCTGTGAAAAGCGTAGACTGGCCAGGATTCCAAGCTTCTGTAAACGCTCAGTGCATGAACATTCAATCTATATTTGAAATAGAAAGCCTCATTGCATCAGCCTTAACAACGCATACGAAACTTGTGAATGTATCACTACCAAGATCACAACTTGACGCACAATACGAATACCTTCGTGCAATCCGTCACCGGGCAGAGAGGAAATACAAGAGGACGAAATCACCATCTGACCTATCTACAGCACGCCAAGCACAACGATATGTATCGCGACACCTCGATAAGCTCGACAGGCAACGGTGGAGGGTATTTTCGGGCCCTCTTGATCCCAGGAAACCCCTATTTTGACTATGGCAAATTGTCCGGAGCCTTCAGATGCCCACGCAACAGTTGGTCCCTTTCCGAGCTTTGGCTCTAAAGCAAGGTCGACCTCAAGTAGAGGTTGCAGAAGACTACTGCCACTTACTCATAGGAATATCCTCCTCACCGATATTACCTTTGTGTTTAGCCTCACCGCCATATAGCGATGATCGCCTCGACTTACCATTCACAATGCACGAACTCGACGCTGCGATTTCTGCATCCTGACGCTCGTCCGCACCAGGGGCTGACGAAATTACTTAGTATTCCGCTCTATATCACCTCAGCCAGGAATCAAGGCAAGCTCTCTTGTCATTCTACAACTATACGTGGAAAACGGCGACAGTCCCAGAGAGTTGGAAATGCAGCCGCATAGTGGCCTTACTGAAACCAGGCAAGTGTTCACACGAGTTGTCTTATAGACCCATTGCCCTAGCCAGTTGCATCGGTAAGCTGATGGAACGCATGGTGCTGGCAAGATTGGAATGGCTGCTGGAGAATAATGTCGGCTTACCAGATTTTGTAAATGGCTTCTGTAGGGGTCGATCATCTATAGACGGTGTTGTAGACCTAGTTTCTTCTGTTGAAAAGGAAAGACAACGTCGGAGATAGGTAGGGGCCATTTTGTTGAATATAAAGGGCGCGTACAATAGCGTCCACCATGAGGCCATTCTTGATGCACTTGAAGACATCGGCGTAGGTGGCCGGCTACACGCATGGTTAGTGAGCTATCTCAGAGGACGTACCATTTTTATGTCGACATCTGATGGCGACATGACCAGGCACCTTGTCAGCTGTGGAGTTCGGCAAGGCGCCGTCCTGAGCCCCATGCTTTTTTAACATAGCACTCATTGGCTTTGAAGCTGAGCTTCCTGACGTTGTCAGAATCAGTGTGTATGCGGACGACATATGCATATGGGCATCCGTAGCAACGCGACCACAACTGCGAGCAAAGCTACAACGAGGCACATCAGTAACATCTTAGCACTTGCGTCAGTAACATCTTAGCACTTGCGTCGTCAGAGCCTGCAACTTTCACTATCAAAATGTGCTGCATTGGCATTTACGATGAAATAAATGTTGCGGTACCCAATCTTCGCTGTCGGAGCAGTGATTCCCGCGGTCAAGCACCACCGCTATTTAGGGGTCGTCATTGATCACAACCTGTGCTGGTCGAAGCATGTGACTGCACTGCGGAACAAATTAATCAGTTTTGTGTATTTTCTTCGTGTTATAGCAGGACTGAGATGGGGCCCTTTAGAGAAAAGTCTTCTGCAGTTATAAAAGGCATTGTTTGTGGACTATATGCGATACAGCTCACCTGTACTTTCCAGCATGCGTGCAACGTGCTTTTGCACTTTAGAGAACCTTCAGGCACGAGCACTGAGAACATGCCTTGGCCTGCCACAGTGCACGTCAACCTCTGGCACTATAGAGGAGTCCCGCACCTACCCTATACAGGTTTACACATCCTGTGAGCCTCTTCGAGTGCACCTTCATCTGCTGACCCAACATGTACAGCACCGTTGTCTTCGCTACCTATTCGCGATGCCTCAATACTCATAGACACAGGCTTTGCACCTGCTGTAATCCCTGCAGTGCCTCCATGGACATTGACTAGACCGCTGGTGTGCCTTCACATACGTTGAATTTCGTATAAGTCGCATGTTTCTTATATTGCCCTCAAGCAACTTACCTTGGCACATTTGGATGACCGATACAGCGACTCTGCGCACATCTACACCGATGGATCCGTAACTTCGTCCGCCTCAGCTGCAGCCTTCGTGATCCCTCAACTCAGTATTTCCCAACAGTACAAATTAGATCACAAGTCATCTTC